ATAAAAAAATGGAAGAATCAGCTGACAGTAAATATAGAGAGAAGGATTTATTTTAAAGCACTGTCTGAAATTTTACTAAAAAACAATCTGACTTGATGCAGTTTAAAGTGATTTTCCACTGGTCCAAAGTGAAATATTTATGTTCCTTGACTGCTGAAAAAAATGTAATTGAATGTCTTTCAATGACAAAATGATACAAGAAAAGGAAAAAAGAATCCCCTGCTTTAAATCACCCTCTGCTTTAATCTGTAACTGCTGTTAAGGGGGCATAGGGCAGGACCCAGTTTATGGATTTTGCTACCTAAGTGTGTCCCATGTGCTTCCAGCAGCTGAACACCGAGTCCAGGATCAACCTTGTGCAATGCCCAGCACTAAGCAAAGCCAGCAGCTCAGGACTGCAATCACTCATCACACTTTTGGAAGGTGTTTACTATTTTTCTCTAATAGTGTGTATTCTTATCCAGGCAGACGTTTTTGCTGTGTAATTCAGCTCACAATGGATCTTATGCATTTTGTTTCAAGATGCTGAGTGCTGCATTTTTGAAGGGTAGCAACAATTTGCTTGTGGCTAGAAGGATGACTCTTCTTTAAGTAAAACAGTGACACACCTAAGGCTAGATTTAAAAAAAAGCCGTGTGTAATTATCAGCTTGCTGACACAATAGGTGAAACTGTGTGTCATACTTTATTTGAATTTTTTTTTCACCTTTTCTCTTTGGAGTAGCAATTCTACCTTGAAGAGTTGATTTAGAAAAGGAATGGCCACTATAACTACAAAAATTTTTAAGGGAAGCCTTGTATAGAATTAATACTTGCTAAAATACCTTGCAGCTTTGTTGGAAAACTAAAATATTACAAACCACAACACCTTACAGCTGTCCATTAACAATTTTCAGCTTCCACCCCGTGCTTCTCTCCATCCCCCCAATTTATCCCCAGCTGAAGTTGTCACAGGTGGCACAGCCACAGCTCTCATTGGTTTTACTACCACAGGCAGAGGGATCTCAAATATTGTCATTTGACACTTTCCTGAAAAGAAAATAATTGGTTTCCAGAAGAGGCTGGAAGCTGAAGGGCACCAGCTTCTTCAGAAACACAACTCCTGCCATAAACATCTCTTCCAGAGGTCCCACCAACAAAGCTTTGTGACCATAAAACTAAATACCACAAAACCTGAAACATCACAAGGTAAACCTGCATCAAGCCTATGGAGACCAAGACTGCAGCATGGCAGGGGGAAAGGAGGAAATGAAATAGGAAATCTATTGTTCAAAGCATCATGAGCACAAGAAAAGTTCTGACAGAGCAGATCAGAATTCTGATAAAGGGAAGGCTTGAACACTAACAATTGGCCTTTTTAAGCTTCTACAAGCAAAAAGCAATCCCAACCTTAAAAGAAACCTTTAAAGTTTTTCAACTCAGAGGATGGAAGCAGAGCTTTTATTTTCACCAAGCTGATGACCAATCTAGAAAAAATATCAGATTTGAACCAGACTTCAGGACAAGTCTGGCCATACCAAGACTAAAGATTTGCAGGCAGTGAGAACATAAATGTAACTCTGCAGAGCTGTTACCACTCTGCCAGAAGCATTTGTTACCACTCTGGTCACAGTGTGCCTTCACTGCTACCATTAGAGCTGGTTAGATTCAAAACAAGAACACAAGATTGTATTTACAGTATCAATTAAAATACAATATTTACAATAATACCATATCATGGGATTATTTCACTGTGCAAATACATCTTCAGGTACCCTCAGTTAAGAATTTCATACAACAGATAATTTAGCATGAACTCAGCTAGAAGTGAATTAAATATGAGCCTTCAAAATACAATATCTCATTAATAACTTACTTAGTGGCAAATGTCACTGTTGCTAGCATGCCAAAGTGAAGCAGGGCTATCCTAGAGCTTCACCTTCTCTTTCCAAAAGTTATCCCAAAACAGGGGAAGTTTTAGGCATCACATCCTATCACAGCTTAGAGTCACCAGGCTCCTCTCCTTCACAATCTATGCCAGTGTAGATGAAACATCATCAAAACACCATGAAACACCTCATGAGAGAAACAAGGCTGAAATGTCTCAGCATTTCTTGTCTGCTCTCTGTGGAAAAAATGGAAGAAAATGGTGCTTGACCTTAAGGAGATGGACAGCAGGTTCTTAGACAGGAAGGTTTTATCAAGGTCTCAAAAAACACCAGGAGCAATTCCACAGGGCAGAGACCTGCTGGGTGAGCCTGCAGTGAAGGACCAGCACTGGAAATGAAACTACAGGGGTGAAAACCAGCAGAGAGCAGCCAGGACACTGTGTCCAGGAATAAAAATGGATTCATTCACAGATTGTCTCAAAGAACTTTAAAAACTGTTTTTAAAGAATAAAGAATAAAGAAATAGTCACATAATCTTTGGAAGCCTGCTGAGCTCAGCAGGTAGCCCTGTGTGGGCAAAGTAGGCTTTTTGGAGGAGATTGAAATAGTTTTGTCAGCAATCTAGAAGCAAGGAAGTCCCTAAAAATTAAAGCATATATCCAGAACCACAGATCACTGCATAGTCCAAACTTCTATTTTTTTTTTTTTAAAGAAAATACTAAATGACCACTGATAAAACCCTTCTGATGGAGACAAAGCTGCTGTCAATGGCTGTACTAAAAGTGTGCCAAGAAACTGTGAGAAGCCACATTGTGTGTTTGCAGTGCAAGTCACCCGTTCAGAAACCTCAAAATGTCAGCCAGTGTGTGGCCAACAAAAAGACCAAACAACAAAGAGAGAATCCCACAGGCAAGGAGGAGGGAGAACATGAGACAGGAGAAAAAAGGTAAAACCAGTTTGTATCTGCAAAAATAGCAACAGTATTAAGGGAAAAGTTGCAGCAACTTGTAGTCCACCATTGCAGTAGCACAGATTTGGAAATCTCTTAAAGATTTTACTTTGGAAAGTCTTTTGAAACAGAAACCACGGATTGAAAAAGAACTACACCAGGTACTTCTGTTCACTGCTAAGTGAAATCCTGCACTCTGCTCTATAAAACCACAAGGCATCAAAAGAGGAAAAATCCTCTCATGTATTTGTTAACTTTAACTCAAACACCTTCTTAGTAATAAAACCCCTGCTATTCAAAAGTGCTGTGTTAAGGATTTAGTATTGCCACGTAAGGTTCTTACCCCTTTTAGAAACTGGAAGTGGTTTTATCTTCTATTCAAAATAATCTTTGAATTGGAACACTTTAAAAGGAAAATTATAATTTGCATAGAAGTAGAGCTGAGGTATACTTGATTCTTTTAGACTTAACCTGCTCAATTTGGAAGCTGTAAGCTGGTCAATAAAAATATGCTTTATTCTTTGCACAACACCCATCTGACGAAGTCCCACAAATCTTGGATTGTTAGGAACAAGACACAGCTGAAAAAGTAAGAAACAACCTCTTCCTTAAGTTTTCTCATAATACTTCCAGCCCTTTATGACTCCATAAAGCAACTCCTCCATTTTAGAATAGTTTGTTATTTCTGCCTCTACTGAACTAAGGTTCCAAATCTTCTCTTTCTTAAACTTAAATTTCTCTTAAATTCCCTGAGCTGATGTCCCTGAGGTCTCCACAGAGAAGGTGGATCAAGCAGACAGAAGATGACACCCTGCAAAGCCTCCACTGATTTCTCTTATCCATCTTACAGTGAGTTTCTTTGGATTTTCCTTTGAAAATCAGGTGAACAGAGGGAATTGAAGTCATCACACAAAAAGGAAATAGATATGTTTACATCACCACCACCCACCCATACACAATTCTTTACTTTTAAGCTATTCAGCATATGTGTTAGCAGACACCTTAAGTTTTAATAGACTTAAAAAATGACCTGTATTAGTTTCCTAGCTCAGTTCAAGAGAGAGGGGGAATTGTGGAAAATGGATTTGTAGGAAATTCTCAAAACCTGGCAGGAGGCTCACACTGTGTGCATATGTATGGTAAACCTTGAGATAAGAAATGGTGACTTAGAAATGCCATGGGATAGGACCGGCATTGCTGAGAGAGAAATGGATCTAGAAACAAATTTCAAAGGATGGCCTTGCAAAACAGACTAGATATCATATATAGATATAGATATATCAATAGATATATAGAAATATATAGAGATATAGATATAGAGAGATATAGATAGATATGTATAGATAGATATCTATCATATCATATATATGATATAGACATACATATGTAAATATATATGGAGACACAGAACTATGAAAAATGCATTGTAGTAGGACCCACAAAGGGTAATTTTAGATTATTGGCTTTAAGGCATTTGCAGCATGGTGTGGCAAAAGCTGATAGGCCAAAAATGCTTATATTGTATTGTAATTAAGAAATATTATATAGATGTATACATTGATATATATGGAGACATAGAACTATGAAAGATGCATTGTATTAGGACCCACAAAGAGTAATTTTAGATTATTTGCTTTAAGATATTTATAGTATGGTGTGGTAAAGGTTGATAGGCCAAGAAACACTTTTAGTGTATTGTAATTAGGCAATAGGATATTGATATATATGGAGAAAGAAAACTATGAAAGATGCACTGTAGTATGACCCACAAAGAGTAATTTTAGATTATTTGCTTTAAGGTATTTATAGTATGGTGTGGTAAAAGTTGATAGGCCAAGAAACACTTATAGTGTATTGCAATTAGGAAATGGGATATTGATATATAATGGAGAAAGAAAACTATGAAAGATGCATTGTATTTGGACCCACACAGAGTAATTTCAGATGATTGACTTTAAGGTATTTATAGTATGGTAAAAGTTGATAGGCCAAGAAACACTTATAGTGTATTGTAATTAGGAAATAGTTGGCTTCTGATTGTGATGGTGTGAATTATAACACCTGTATTGCCTCACCCTTCACATGAGACTGAAAACGGAATAAAAGTTTTTAAAACACCTCTCAGTTCCCCCATGCCTGGGTCAGCAAAAGGCTGAATCAGCAGCCTGGGTGGAGGCAGCCCACCTGGAGATGTGGCTGATGAAGGGGATGAGCTCGGCGGGCTCGTAGGCGCGCGCGAAGGCCCAGCACACGTAGCAGGCCGCGTCCCTGACGTTGGAGCCCACGCTGCACGCCCCCCTCTTCTCGTCGTACGTCAGCGCCTTCAGCATCACAGGGACCACTGTTATGGCACAAAAAAATACATGAAAAGCAAGTTAGGACCTTCAAGATCATCTTGTTCCACACATGCCATGGGCAAGGACACCTTCCTCTATCCCAGGTGGCTCCAAGCCCCATCCAAGCCGGCCTTGGGCACTTCCAGAGGCCTCCCCACCCTTAGAGGGAAGAATTTCTTCCTGATATCTGACCTAAACCTACTAAATCCATCCCCTCTTGTCCAGTCACTACATGCAGGAGTCAAATATGTTTTTCTACAGATAAAAGAGCTTCCAAAACTGTGGGGGTTCCAGTCGTTGGTTTTTCTGGGTCTGGACTGAAGGCACTTGAGACAGTAATTCATATTAGAACTCAAGTGTTTATTATTTCTTATCACTAAAACAGTCTCATTACTGTGAGTTCAGCAGCTTTTCATTAGAAGGCACAAAATGGCCAACAATCTCTTGGTACAAGATCTTTTAAGACTAAACTATCCAATTAAGAGCTGACACCTGGATTATTTTCCCTTTTAACCCAATAAGTGATCCCACAGAGCCCCCAATGCAGAGTTTTCTGCCCAATTACAAAATGCCACCCAAACCCATGAAGAAGAAATCCAGTACAACATCTTGCTTCCATCCACAACACATTAAAAATCCCAAAACCTCAATTTCTCACCAAGTGATTCACCTGCACTACTCTCTATAATCTATTTCACACTTCTGTGGGTTCCAGTCTATCTTGAAGTCTGGGAAACTTTCTCCATGAATGAGGGTCAAAGTCAGTGCTGCCCTGGGGGTCAGGGCACCCCAGAGCAGACACAGAAATATTCCCAGTGCCCTGGGTTTCCACACAAAACCTGTAAGGATAATTCTTTTACACCATTCTAAAAACACACTGCCACAGTTCAAGAAATATGAATGCAGGGCTCCCCAGAGGGTCTTTATTTGGTATCTGCACATCCAGGTAGCAAATCTGAATACATCTCTCTCTAGATGGCACAACTTTATTAAATGACTTATGTCTGCAGAAACAACAGCCTCTTAAAAAAAAAGAAAAATTTCTCTCTCGGTTTTCTTTCTTGTATCAAATTTATCAAATGCATAATTTTCCTTAGAAAATACTTGTCACAAGGTGATCCCATTAACAAGAAATGGGATCACTGAACTGTATTTCATTAGCAATCTGTGCCTGGATATCCTTGACTGGATATAATCACAAAATAATTAAAACTTCCATGTGCTGTTCATCACTCTGTGCTGCTGCTTTAAACAAAAAGATAGATACCATGACTGGAGAAGTGAAGTGTTAAAAGGCTGTTTAAATTCATTGTAAGCTGCTAAAGAAAATCAAGCAGTAGATATAGAGATGGGTGAGATTTGAGTAATAGGAGCATAAACACTACAAAGGAGAAAGTGTAATTCCAATTCTGGAACAACCATACAGCAGAGATGGATGGATTGTTGGACATTTCCCAGTTCCTAAAGAAACTGCAATGAAAGTATTTAAAAATGCTGCCTAGCTTGTTTTGAAAATTGCTGCATCAACTGATGAGAAAAATGGAATTTGCTGGTTCTACAGGAACACTCAAGCAGGCGCCAAAGGCAATTTTGCAAAGCTGCAGCACGTTTCCCTCAGTGCAAGCGACCACTCCAGCTCCTTTGGACAGCTGTGGGCACCCTCCCACCTCTGTGCAGGGAAGGAAAAGGGGGAAGGAGGCCCCTCCAGCAGCTCCTCACATTTGGATCGTCCCTGTGAAAGAAAAAAATGTATTTTTGCAGTTGAATGTCCCAAATGCTGGGCACAGCACCAAATGGTTTGTCAGCGACAGTGGTGATGCTCCAGGATCTGTTGGCCAGGGCAGCTCGAGCTCTCACACCTCTCTGGTGGCTTTTTCCTACATCTGGGACTCACAGCACTGTCCTGTGAGACTGCAAAGTCTGGAGACACAGAAAAGGAAGCAAACAGTGGGCACTGGGGAGGTGGGACTAACAGGGGAAACAAGGCAAAGTGTGCAGCTCTGGTAATTAGAAACACAAAAACTGATCTAGGGAGCATCTGGTAAAGTTTTGTGTCATCACTGGTTAAATATTTACTGGTGAACTGTAATGAGAAATGCTGAATAAAAACTGCTCCTGACACAAGTGCGTGTGTGTGTTCAAAAAAGTGGGTCCAGCATTACATTTCTTGGTGGTTTTTAAGGGTTATAAAAATCCAAAAGAAACACTACCCAGTATTCCAGGTTTCACTTAATTTCTTGCTCTAGAGTTCCTCAAACACCACGCCAAACCTAAAAAATGGTAAAATGCTTTAACCAAACATGAGAGATTTAAAAATCAAAAAAACTTTAGAAAAAATATCTTCCAGAAGAAAATTATGGAAATTTTTTATGGAAATTTTATGGAATTTTATGGAAAATTTTATGGAAATATTAAAAATTTGGTAGGGTCAAGACAAAATTATTGGATTTTTGAAATTCTGAACATGACGTTTTTATTGAAAACTAGGAGGCTGGAAGATGCAGCAAGGACAAGATCTGAATTGTTTCTCAACTTTATAGGTTTAACTTTGAAAGTTTAGCTTTAATTTTACAACTCCCCATTTCTTTCACAGATCCACAGGTTTGTTTTTTTTTTTAAAAAAGCGTGCCACCAAAAGCAGAGGACAAATAATGCCCACTTCAAGCTGATTATTAAAAGAAAATCCACCCGTGCAGGTCTGTGAAGGCTCAAGAAAACACAGTCACCTTTACCTGTAGCCTGAAGGTATCAATAAGCACCTGCTGCACCCCACCCTGCCATGCCCAAGAGCGTCACTGCAGTTGCAGCACAGCCCTGTGCTCAAGCCCTGGAAAATAAAGAAACAACTTCTGGCATTACAAACAGGGTTGGGTTGGTTTTTTTTCCTCATACTGGAGACAAGTTGCAAAGATATTCTGCTTTTTAAACGTGGATTTTACACAGTGGGGTGCTCAGTGGAGGTGAGAGACAATAAAAGTCTGGTGAAGGAGGGTAGCCACATTTCTCTTCACAGAGAAAAGCAAGGCACAATTCTTCCCAAGAATATTTCTGGGATTCACATTCTCTCAACCTCAGAGAAAGAAAACACAATTCTTATCATTTGCTGTGCCTGTGTTTGTGCAAAAGTAGAATGCAATATGGAGACTGTTTACCCACAGTGATGGTGTTTTGTTTCCTTGAGGTTGAGAGAATGTGAATCCCAGAAATATTCTTGGGAAGAATTGTGCCTTGCTTGTCTCTGTGAAGAGAAATGTGGCTACAAATGAGCTTGTGGAAGACAACAGATACTAAAAGGTTTCATGTATTTAAATGAAAGATTCTTTACATTATTCCTTTAAAAACATACTTTACACCAACCTCAACCATAACCTGTGTCGTCCAGAGCCCTTTGTCTCTTTAACTCCACTCAGTAAATCGATTGTTTTTAATTTAGTGCATTGTTTATTATATAAAATATACAAATACAGCAGTCAAACAAACAACAAAAACCTGTTCCCCAGCCCTAGGCCTTGTCTCCACAAGAAAATTGCCAAATGTCAACTCGACCTTATTTAATTAAAAGCAGATTTTCATTGGATCTGGGGTTAAATAAGAATTGTCTACATTTAGTTTCAAACTAAAATATGCAACTTAAAACTGATTGTCAGTGTTATCTTAGACAAGCATTATGTTTTTATAGGGACTGTTAAAGCAGAGAAGCTGTTTCAATCCGTAAAAAATACTTAGCAAATCCTTCTATTTTAGAATTATATAAGAAAAAGTACTACAAAGTGGACATTTGCTATTCCTGAAGGGAGCACTGTGCACAATGTCACAGCAGGAGCAGCTACAATTAATGAATTAAAGCTTAAACTTAGATGCATATTCAACACAAAGAATAGCAATTTTGTTCAAAATTTTCTTCAATGAAAACCAACCCAGTGCAGAAGTGAAGGTTCATCCTCTTTGTCAGCTTCATGTTTAAAAGTTGATGTGGTTTAGTTGAGGTGTTGGGGCTGGGTTGGACTCGATGATCTTTAAGATCCCTTCCAACCCAGTGATTCTGTGAATTCTCTGAAAACCACTGGTGCAGATATCTGCAGAGTTTTGTTTCCTAAAAACACAATTCTGGCTCCCACATGTACAGAAAATCAGGTTTGAGACCTCTCACTCCTACATGGCACCTCTGGAAAGAGGCAGCTCCTAACTGGAACTTCACTAGGGCTGTTGTACTAATATTTACTGGATCAATTTACTGCATGCAAACACCAGAAAGTTCAGGTTAGGCCCATTCCCAGAAATAAATACTTGTTTAAAAATACTGTCAATCACCTCTGAATTATTCTCATTTTCTATATAAGTTGTTGACTCCAGAATCTACTCTTGAAGGGCTCTTTCATGGGGAGGATAAAGCCTCCAGTGGGGATCAGAAAATGAGTGTGCTGTTCTGGCTGTGCAGAGTTCTCTGATCTTTTTTGGATGTGCAAAGCTCTCTGTGCTGTTTTGGATGTGCAGAGTTCTCTGATCTGTTCTGGCTGTGCAGAGCTCTCTGTGCTGTTTTGGCTGTGCAGAGCTCTCTGTGCTGTTTTGGCTGTGCAAGTTCTCTGTGCTGTTCTGGCTGTGCAGAGTTCTCTGTGCTGTTTTGGCTGTGCAGAGTTCTCTGTGCTGTTTTGGCCATGCAGAGTTCTCTGTGCTGTTTTGGCTCTGCAGAGTTCTCTGTGCTGTTTTGAATGTGCAGAGTTCTCTGATCTGTTTTGAATGTGCAGAGTTCTCTGATCTGTTTTGAATGTGCAGAGTTCTCTGTGCTGTTTTGGATGTGCAGAGTTCTCTGTGCTGTTCTGGCTGTGCAGAGCTCTCTGTGCTGTTTTGGCCATGCAGAGTTCTCTGTGCTGTTTTGGCTGTGCAGAGCTCTCTGTGCTGTTTTGGCCATGCAGAGCTCTCTGTGCTGTTTTGGATGTGCAGAGTTCTCTGTGCTGTTTTGGATGTGCAGAGTTCCCTGTGCTGTTTTGGATGTGCAGAGTTCTCT